AAAAAAAATATCTAGCTGTTCTAAGTTTGCATCTGAGTAAAGATGCAGGCGCAGAACAACTAAACTTTATTGAACGTTGAAAGCTCTGTGGATCAGCTGTAATGCTCTTCGCCGTCTCGAACACTACAGCGTCCAGCCAGTTACTGAATTTGCACGCAGATCATTGTGAGTTTTAAGATTGGCGTCTTAGAAAGAAAAAAAAAAATTTTGGTATCAAATGAGGGAAAAGCCGTCTGAAGCTTAAAGAAGACAACTGAAATTAACACCGTCTTTGCAATAATTGAAAGTCACCGACAGAGGGTTATAAACTTCGACAATCAAAGTTTTCTTTCAAGAACGCTGTCGCTGTTGTAGTTTTCTGCTGCTCGTCGATCTCACTCCCCAACTATTTATCATTTTTTCATCTATCATTCGGCGTTTTATCTGAGTCATTCAAAACGGTGGATTCAGCTGAACTTGCTGTAGTAATTTTTGAACTCCAAATTGCCAAGACCACCAACCTAATAGCGTTTCTATACACTATACTGCAAATTTTTGTAGCATTTATATGCGAATATAAGTCTAAACAATCACAAAAATTTTACTTTGATTTTTAAATTTAAAGCTTGCACAGTCATTAATCTACAGAACTAACGCCATAATAATAAGCATTTGAGGTGGGGAAAAGAAACTTGAAAAACAAGAAAAAAAAAACAACGTATATAAATTGTTAAATTTATAAAGAACAGTTCGACAAAAAAAACAAGTGAAAAGAGAAAAAATATTTTTTTACAGCAACAGCAGAATATTCGTTAGATTCTAATTTGGTAAAGCATAATAAAAAGAGAAATCAGCAGATATTGAAAGATAATTTGAGGAGTCTATGGAAAGTAATGGAAGAGCAGAAAGTAAAAATAATGTCGAAGAAGTATAATACATATATTTGTTGACTAATGGGTATTGTTTTTTTCCTTTTTTTTTTTGTTTTTGCCAGAAAGGTTCGTTCTTTTTTCCTTCCCTTTTCTTCCCAGTGATCACTAATCCGGATTTTTTGACAATTATAAATCCCTGAAGAATAAGGCTTTTAAAAACAAATGTTATCGAATTTTGTCAAAATAACATTAACATTGATTT